GTGGGCTGTCATTTCCAATGCCATTACCTTGTGACAAAAACAATTGGATTTAATAGGATCCACTAGCAAAACCAGCCCGTGCTTTTCAAAGGGTTTAGACTTTAAAACCCATTTTCAGACGTTTTCTGTCATTCTCTCACTCCCTTGCTCCTCTCCAGCCAAGTAGCAGCCAAGTAGCGTAAATGGCAGAGGGATGCCCTGCCGAATTAACAGAGAAGGAAGAAAAGATGGACAGAGAGCTATGCTAGACAAGCAAGCACCAGAGAAGAACAATAAGAGGAATAGTTCTGCATGTTTAATTCTAGAGCTTGTGGGTTAAAAAAGAGGAAGGAGAATATGACAGAGAAGAAGCCGCTGCTGTATAAGAGTGGGAGAAGTTGAAGAAATCCAAGGAAGGAGAACATGACAGAGAAGCTGCTGCTGTATAAGAGTGGGAGAAGTTGAAGAAATCCAAGGAAATTCTGCCAAGAAAGTAATGGGCTTGTGAGCTAAGTATAGGTTAAGTCTTTGGTAGCTCTAATTGAATTTAAAAAGATATTTGCCTGGTTAAATATGAGCTTAGATTAAAGCTAACGAAAGAAATAAGCTTAATAAAGAAGAATGCTTAACATGCAATTAAAATCATGAGTTGGTACAAGGTTAGCTGTTATGTTCAAGCCATATATGATTTGTTATGCTTGTGAAATAAGCTTGAAGTTGTAAGAATCTATTAACTTTGGAAGAGACAGAATAGACCAGTTAACATAGAAGTTGAATTTAATTGATTAGTCATGTCTAGGCTACAAGTCAGTGCTGGATTAAAGTTGAGAGTTGAGACTACATGTTGGACCTGCAGATATGGCTTTTGAAAGCTATAGTTGACGCAAGCTACTGTGCCATCCTGCTGTGGTCTAATAATAACTTGTCTTGCTATAACTAAAGTATATGCATGACAATTTTATAGTGTTGTTTATATTCTGTGTAATGCCGACTGTTTAGAGTTTTCTAAACCATACTCATGGAAGTGTATGAAGTGTTAAGTTATGCTAAGATTATGCAATTATAGTAGTACAATGCAACCTGCTTGAACATATGTTTATATGAGCTAAAGAATGAGAATCGATTTATGCAATAAGAGTGCATCATTTTACATGTTGCATAGAACCTATGATATGATAGCTAAGCTAACGGTTAGGTATGATAATCCTAAAGTTATCTAGAGTAAAGACTCCTAAAGTTATCTGGAGTAAAGAATGATGCTCCTAACATATTTGGAGTAAAGAAAGAAAGATATCTAAAATGATACCTGAGCTGCTAAGTTGGGTAAGAACTCTTAAAGAACTTGGAGTAAGGAAAGAAAGATATCTAGATCTACTGCACAGTAGGATGAACTATTGGTAGGACCGTTGGTATGGTGGGATGTAAACCCACAAGGAAAAATCTATAAATAAGAACTTGCATTCATTTACATGTTTGAAACAAGCAAAACGCTACCATGCTGATTTTCTTACGATTCTTGGAAGCATTTATGTCATGTTTATTTATGACACTAATGAACCTATTCAATATTGATGAGCAGTGTTTGATGGAACTGATTCTGTGCTTCTTGAGGTAAAAGAATATATATTCTCGTTTGTTGTAGAATAGAGACCAAGTAAGCATGTGCTTGGATTGAACTTATCCTAAATTAGATAGTTCTTATTTAGAGAATGTGGGTTATTTATGAGATGATGATTAAGTCACCTATGCCTAATTCTTGTATCTTGACACAAGTTTTATATGGAAGAACAATATAAGTTAATTGATAGAAATTCGTTAAATTAAGAATTCAATTATGGCTCTTAAGTTATAACCTATGCTTATTGGGCTTTACATCTCATGGTGTATTGTTTACCCTGTTTTTAGGTTAGTGTAAGAAGGATAAATGGCCTTGAAAGCCAAGAGCTGCATAAGGATGTGGAGTTGAACAAGCTTCTTCAAGCTTGTAAGGTAAACTTGTATTTGCACAAAACTTTATTGTGGGTCAAGGTTTTCCTGAAAATCCACTCTTGGGAATCTACAAACGTTTATAGTGATTTTTTCTTAGTGGAAATCTTTGTGTTGCATAGCTTGAACTTGAGTTTCTTACTGTTTGTCTAATTGCAGTAAGATGTCCTGAAACTTATTCCTTACAAACTAGTAAGTCTTTGGCAGAAGTTTTAAACATAGCTTCCTCTGCACTGGTTCAAATGTTTTCAAAAAGAGACTTAAGAGATGTTTCTTCAAAGATATATATATATATATACACACACACATGAGAGATTTACTTACACATAAATTTTATAGAATACACTTACACAAAATTTTGACCATTCATCTCTCCACTTTCAATGATTGAGATTTCAACCACTAGAAGTAGAGAGATGAATAGTTGAGATTTTGTATAAATGTGATGTGTAAGATTTATATGTAAGTGAATACTTACTCTCTCTTTCTCACTTTCACATAAATTTTACACACCACACTTATATAAATCTCAATCATTCATTTTTCCACTTTCAATGGTTCAAATTATCTTTTTTATCTAAAAAATAGTGATAAATCTCAATCATTGAAAGTGAGAGATGAATGGTCAAGAATTTGTGTAAATGTAATGTATAAGACTTGTGTTTAAGTGGATTCCTATATATATACATATGTGTGTGTGTGTGTGTCTGTGACACCAAATTGAAATTTGGTTTTTAAGGTTATAGCTCAAAACTGGCCTTTGGATTTGGGATGTAACAGAAAGTGTGCATTATCATACCTGTACTTCAAAATGAACCTCCTTCCGAAGGTGCCAAATGCCCAAACGGTTGCCCCCGTACCCCCCGCCACCCTCCGTGAGCTATATATGAGAAAAATGAGATTCAGAGTTTCAAGAGTTGCTGATAATTTATTTCCATCCCATATCAACAGGTACAGTAATCTTATCTTCACGAAAAGCAAAACATAAGATGTGCCTAGTATATATTTCCTCCCCGCACCAAGATCTACTTAGTAATTAACAAACTATAAAGCAGCTGATAGCATTCCATTATCATACCTCTTGAACAAGCTCGTGAATAAGACTTTCCAATTTTTTGTTGACATTTGTCAAGATCTGTACACGTCAGAAACAGAAGATAGAGAAAAATGAGACGCAAAGCTTCAAGAATTGCTGCAAATTTATTTGCATCCATATTGTTAAGTGGGAAAATCCCACGTTAAGTATAAAAATAATAAGCTTGTGGGTTAAATACAAGGAGGGACTCCACCTATTGCCAATTGGTTTTACGTTGGATGTAAGCCTTCGGACATTTGGCAACTTCGGGTCCTCAAGATGTTCTCTCAGTTCCTTCCGAAGCAGAATGGCGCAACGAAGCTGAGCGTTGAGTGTCCCCAATTCTACATGCAATTCTGTTGTTTCATTTTTCCGAGTTTCCAATTCTCTTTCCAATTCAGCAATTTTATTGTTCAGAGTTTCCACTAGAGGTTCCATTTCCTTAACTTTTTGTTTCGCATCCTAGATGTTCAGAACATTAAAAAAAAAAAAAAAAAAGATGGAAATAATAATAATAATAATAATCATAATTAAGAAGATCAAAATGGAGAGATGATGAATGCATAAATTACCTT